CTAAAAAGGCAGATCAAGGAGGGGCCATGTAAAATAGTTCCTGGGATATGTAAACTAGTTATTGATATGCATATGAGTCTATGGATATGCAACAGGCTGATATGAGGAAAAGGTATTTAAGGGGTATCCCTAAAGGCTGAGTGCCAAGATGCACCTGGCTGTAACAACCTTTGCTCCATGGTCCTTATCTCCCATTGTTCTTTATTAAACTTAAACTTTCACAGCAGAGTGAAGGTGTTTTTCACAGCTGAAAACCCTTCCTTTACTAAACTCCTCAGATTTTCACAGCAGAGTGAAGGTGTTTTTCACAGCACACAAAAGGCCCTTCTGCCTCTCTTTGCTGAGTTTGCTGTGTGTGGACTTGCCTGCCTTGCCTAAATGTTCACCCACACAGCTTTTCCTCAGGAGATGCTCACTGGGGAACTACAGGAATGTGCCCTCTGTTGACAGAGAGACCAAACTCTCCTTTGTCCCCTAAAAAAGGAAATAAGCCCAGAAGTTTCTCTCCTCAATTAGGTGAAAAGACATCTCATAGGACTTGGGAGATTTCACCTCAAACTTAAGGACAGCTAAATGGACAGAAGCCAAAAAGGCCCACCTGAGCAATTTACTAGAAAAAAAAGAGAACAAAGAAACCAATGGCATTTGTGAGGAGTTTTACCAAGGCCAAAGGACATCTTGTACCTGGCTGGGCTTTTCTCTGTAAAGAGTTTTGTTATTTTGCCTTCTATTAAAACCTTTTTGTTTCTAACACTTCCACAGAAGCCATCCTGCTGATTTGATGCCTTCTAAGGTAGCTGAGCTATCTTGAATGTTAAACAGATCTCCAAGAGCTTATGAGACTTGAGGAGATATTTCAGGGATATCCCATATTAGAGGGAACAGAAAACAGCAACCACCCTCTAAAGCAACACTTTTTTTGTTTCCAGCACTACAACAAATCCTGTTGATTTTATGCTTTCTAAGGTAGCTGAGCTATCTTGGGTGTGATATAGATCTCCAAGAGCTGATGAGACTTGAGGAAACCCCTGTTTCAGGGAACAGGTAACAGCCACCACCCTCTAAACACAGTTTCCAACACTACCACAAATCCTGTTGATTTTATGCCTTCTAAGGTAGCTGTGCTATGTTGAATGTCAAACAGATCTCCAAGAGCTTATGGGACCTGGCTCAAGGAGCTATTTCAGGGAACAGGTAACAGCAACCGCCCTCTAAACCAACAATTTTTGTTTCCAGCACTACCACAGAAGCCATCCTACTCATTTTATGCCTTCTAAGGTAGCTGAGCTATCTTGGGTGTGAAATAGATCTCCAAGAGCTNCCATGCCAAGGCCTGGCACAGCTGCAGCCCTTGCTGGGCTCCTGTCCCTGTGCCAGAGCAGAGCTCAGCCCCTGCCCCTGTGCCTGCCCTGGGGAGGAGCTGCAGCCCCCGAGGAGCCTCCCCTCAGTCTCCTCCATTTCTCAGTCATTTCTCCAGCAGTTATCTCCAAGGCCAGACCCTGCCAGCTTTGCAAACACAGCAGCAGCAAAAGCAGCTTCCCACATTCTGCCTGAATACCTCCCCTGTTCACAGCTTCAGCCACATAAGGTTTGGGATAATGTGATGGGCTTTTCAGCAAGGAGAACAAAGAGGCTTTAAACACACCCCTGCTGCTGAGAGCAGTGTTATCAGCCCTGAGAGAAACCCTATCCTGAAACTGGGCCTGTGCATTCACCTGCTGCTATTGTGCTCATCCTCAGAGCCCTGCTCGTCATCCGATGTCAGGGGGGAGTAATGGACACCGTTGCTCTGAACGAGGGGCTTCTCTTTTTTCAGCACTGGGGGCTGGTCATTGTCCTGGTAAGGAACAGGAGAGTTCTTCAGGGAGTTTTCAGGAGAGGAAATGGCTGTTATTTCTAAGGGCTGGTTAATGTTATTGACCTGGGTGAAAAGGAAAGAAAGCAGTTACACATGAGAGTATACTTGGAAAGGCATCTTATAAAGATTTTAATGCAGGTTTAACTTGCTCTGGGACATCCAACAGATGCTGGTTTAGCACTGCTGCTGCTCTCTTCAACCTCCTCCTTTTTTTAAGGTGAAAGCTTAAATGTAACTTGGAAAATAGCTAATTTTCATTCTTTGATTTCATGTTTGACATCAGAAATGACGACCTGGGATAAACCTTTCCTTCTCAAACTCCGCTGCAGGATCACATGCACACAACTCTCTAGCTGGCTTCATTAGCAAGAATGCCATATGCTTCTGGCACTCCTCTGCTGCTTAGTCAATCTTAGCTTAAACTATTTTCAAAATATTGAATCTACAGCCTCAAAAATCAACTTCACTGCAGAAACAAGCTCTTTGTCATGAGGGAAGAGATTATTTTTAATTTTTAATGCTCTGACAGCAAAGAGCTCTTTGAAGACGTTCTGCTTATACACAAACTGTTCACCAACTTAGTGAAAACAAGAGGCAGGAATTGCTGCAAAAAGCCCTCATGGCAATTCCAGCTCCAGCCTGGAGCTTATCCCTTGTGGAATCCTCTGATTCCTTCCCCCTCAGGGAAAATCCCAGAACCTTGCCCTGGAGAGATTTACCACAGTTTTTCCATAGTCTTACCATAGAATTTACCCCACCTGGGTGGACAGAAAACACTTCCTATGGAATCTTGCCCAACACTGATCCATCCCAGCTCCTTCCCCCATATGTCCCAAGTTCCCCTGGTTTCTCCTTTCCCTGTTTCCTCCTTGGTTGTGGTACCCCTGCTGGCCAGCCCCATCTTCCCTGAAAGCCAAAGCCCTTTGTGCCACCCCTGTGCCTTCCCTACTAAACCTTGTGCACAGAACATTTGGTTTGTCTTTTGTCTCTGGTTCCCCTTTAGTGCTCTGAAATAAACCTTGCTGGAACTGGCCATATGTTATAGTTACATATTATAATATTGGCTTTCCACTAATATTAGAATGGATTTTATATGTGTGATGTTAAAGTAAAATGAATTTTATATGTGTGATGTTATCTTGTTATAAAGATATATTTTTTTATTTCTGTTGTTAATTAAGCTTAGACATAATAGTGGAATAGCTGATATCAGTGTGCTTGTGTTAAAATGCCTGCCTGGATGGGATAACATCCAATGTACACAGCATGAGGACACCTGTACAGATCTGCCAACCATCAGCATCTGCTGCCTGAAAAAGTGTGGACCAAGGCCCAAATATTGAAAGTGATATAAGAAAAGGAACTAAAACCTCAGCCAAGAAACATGCATGCTCTAAAAAGGCAGATCAAGGAGGGGCCATGTAAAATAGTTCCTGGGATATGTAAACTAGTTATTGATATGCATATGAGTCTATGGATATGCAACAGGCTGAT